TGGGAAGTGGATTGGCTTTTTGACTTTTTGACTTTTTTGGTTATTTTAGCCTGGGCTAAAAAGTTTGGTTTGGGAAGGACTTTTTGGCTTTTGGTTTTTTTGACTTTTTTTGTGAGAGAAGAATGTAATGGTTATGAGGATGGATGGGATGTTTTGTCTGTTGTGGCTCATGAGCCTATTCTGTCTTTTATGGCTCATTGAGCCAAAAAAGCCCAATGAGCCTTTGCCAAACCAACCCAAAATAAAATGATATATTTACAGTATTTTTATACAAAACTTACCACGAAAATAATGTGGAAGGGGTGTTTTTGTATGATGAAATTTTATATATATATATATATATATATATAAATTTTAGGATTATTTACACATAAATCCCTAAACTATTTAGAAGTATCACTTTGACCCTTTAAACTATAAAAGCGTACAAATGAACCTCTTAAATTATTGAGAAGTATCATTTTAATCCACTAAACTATAAAAGTATACAAATTGACCCCCTAAACTATTAGCATGGTTCACTTTGATCCCTTCCTTTACTGCATTGTGAGTTAAACAAAACTTTTAAGCATTTTTTAGACGAAAATACCCTCTTCCTTTACTGCATTGTGAGTTAAACCAAACTTTTAAACATTTTTTAGACAAAAATACCTTTCAACACACTATATATTTACAATTTCATTGTTTTTTTAATTTTTTTTTCTTTAAATATAAGCATTCATCCATTATTATTGTTTTATTATTTTTTTAAATATTCTTTGTAAATATATTTTTGAAAAAAGAATATTTAAAAAAAACAATAACAAAACAGAAAAATGAGAAAAATTGAGAAGTTTCGTCTAAAAAATGTCAATGCAGTAACGGATGGTGTCAAAGTGAAACACGTCAATAGTTTCGGGGGTACATTTGTATACTTTTATAGTTTAGGGAGTCAAAATAATACTTCTCAATAGTTTAGGGGGTCTTCGTGTAAATAACCCTAAATTTTAAGATGATGAAACCTTGCATTATGATTTCTGAATAATTCAAGTAAGTCTTTAATACTTCACCATGCAGAAAAGTAGTTTAGCAAAACAGTAATGCTCCTAGCATAAGGAATGTGTTATCACCACCCCCTTTCACAAAAAAAAAAAAAAGGAATGTTTTATAGGTTTTACTAAAATAATTTTTTATGCAATTTTGGCCCAGGAAGGGTGGTTAAATAACAAAATATATCTACCACTGCATTTCAAATGTGTCTACTAGGACTAGCACATAATAAGTTAAAATAAGGGCTGCCAATAACAGTTCAAACATTTAAAATTGTCTACCATAAAATAATAGCTAGAATGATAATATTTTGAAAGAACTCGAGAAAAGCTAGTGTTCATGTTCAAAGTTTCAACAACAGTAATCCTTACAAGTGCAAGAGAAAATACTTCCAAACATTCAAAATTTTCAAATATTAACAAGACAAACAATGTTGTAATGAAAAAATTAAACAGATTTCACAAACCTATTGATCATTTTTTACCTCAATTTAGATCTGGTTTGATATCTCAGGTAGGGTAGCAACACCTAGGCAACCTGCAACACCACCATCAGCCATGCCGTATAAGGTTTAAAGAACATTTTAAGGACATTAAAATGGGTGATCAATGGGTTAGATAACAAGTTTCGAGCATTTATCTACAAGAATTGTCCCCAAGGACCTTAAGGTAATTTGCAGTTACCAGTCATGGCATGCCGCATCATCATACAACTGAGTCATTTCCAGATATATGAGCAAAAGAAAAGAAAAGAAAAAAAAAAGTCTACTTGGAGCAACAGGCTCCCACCAAAAGAAAATCTGCATGTGATGCCTAATGAATTTTCTACTAATTTGCCAAATATGCTCATTCCAAAATGGAACTAGCATGGTGCAAATTGACCAAAGAATTATTTTCAACTCAAACGAAGGGTGGTCTCATATGAATGCTAGCACAAATGTAGGAAAAGTCGATGAAATCTAAAATGTCCCAAAGTTGCTTCTTTGTTTAATTGAACATAATCCATGTTTCCCCTGTTTGATTGCACATATTTAGAAGTGTTGCATGCATTTCTTTTTCCCCCCCTTGAATTCATTGCTGACTCATCCACAACACACTTCAATTAATTCCTGAAGTCAAAATTATTGGCAAACATCCCTTCAGACTTTATTTTCACCACGTTAAGATACAACCCTAGCTATCAAAAACATAAAAATCACTTGCACATTTTCTGTTACAGAATACACAACATTAAGCATTTTCAACTCCTAAAATTACAGAAGCATATCATAATTATCAGGACTATGTACGCTTACAGCACTGATACACCACTTGCCTAGACTTTATTCTCCATAGAAACCAACGGTCCCTATAGCGACTTATATTCCATGGAGCATTACTACGGTGCTTTACCTTCTCATGCAATGGGGTGAAAACTGATTTCACAGCTTCAAAAACCTCTTCTACAGGCTTTTCTGCATCAATCTGCAGGTGAAAAAAAAAACACAAAAAATCAGTGGTTTAATAAAAACACTTTCAGAAAGGAGCACAACCAAATCTTACCTTTCTAACCTTCCCCTTAGAGTTGTAATACTCAATCACAGGAAGAGTAGATTCCATGTAAACTTTAAACCGCTTCCGTATTGTATCAATGTTGTCATCTGCTCTTCCCTTTCATTTGCCAAAAATAAAAATAAAAATAAGAGAGAGAGAGAAAGAAAGAAAATGGTAAGACTAAAACCAAAAAAATATATAAAAAATTGGCATAAGAAACAGACACAATAATCCTTCAGGGAACAATAAATCATATTTGTCTACCTGGTTCCGACCCAAAAGGCGCCTCTCCATCACTTCTTCTGAACAATCAAAAAACAGTACAAATTCTGGCTCAATTCTCGTCTGCACACCATCAGTGTTTTTACAATAAGCAAGACAGATTCTAGACTTCTAATTTTTTAATACAAGTATGAATGGATATTCCAGTCCAAGAGTTTGAATTTTCATGTATGCACCTAGAAGGATGCAGATTCAAATAAAATGTCGTATTAGAGACTTACAACAGACTCAAATGCTGCACGGTTCTCCTCATTACGAGGAAAGCCATCAATAAGAAATTTGTCATTATTATTTGCCTGCATTGCTCTTTGAAGGAGCTTAATTGTTACCTCCGAAGGTACAATTTTTCCCTCCTTAATCATGTTCTGAATCATGGTCCTATAAATTATTAGAGAACCGAGTATTTAGAAACAAGGAGTCGTAAAAAGAACTGAAACTTTAATTAACTATTAGAACCCAAATACAGCAACGAAATAATGATATCTGGATCAGTAGATTAAGAAAACATTGGGCTTACTGATGAATTATATTTTTAAACTTTCACATGCACTAGAGAGAGAAGGAAAGAAACTTGGTTAGAAATCAACCAAAAAGATGACACTAACCAATTGATTCAAGGAATCAGTGGACAATCCTATAAAAAAACACCAATGATAACAATACAAGCTGTTTAGAATAAACTATTTTATCAAAAACTTGCATAAAGAAAATAGAAGAAAGAAATAAAGATAGCCCAGAAGAAAATTTTGTTGATCACTTGATGCCCAATCAGGTCAGTAGTTCCTGCCCTAGGATATCTCCCACTGTGGCATATCAGCTTGAAGGCCTCAACTTGCTTTTCTTTCTGTTTTTTTGGGTTAGTGTATTTTAGCAAAAGGCACTAATTGGCATAACCCATGTCTAAATAATGTAAACTTACATACAGAAGCTTAGATAATCATTGAGAATCCCTACCCAAGTAATCCTCTTAGAAAGACTTACCCATTTTCAGAACCGGATTCTTTTTCTGCTCGGAGAAGATCACCAGCACTTAGATGGGTGTACCCAAAGTGTTCTACAATATTTGTACACTGAGTGCCCTTTCCACTGCCCGGGCCACCTGTTTTATTTGTTGGGGGTCAGGGAAAAGAATCAGCATATCAACTCAGATGACAAAAATGCACCCAAAAATTATGAAGAAAAGACATAGACAAGGAAAGCAGATCCTTAAAAAAAAAAGGAGGGGGGGTAAAAAATAGCCCCAAGCTAAATGCACTGCTAGAATCAGATACTTCCAGCTGAATCCTATGTTACAAGGATTAGACTTAAACCATAATGATTACAAAGACTCATGTGAAAATTTACAATGAAGATGAGGTCGATAACTGGTGGTAGGTCACAAAGGCAAGGTAGTCTTCAGAGAAGTAATAACTAACTACAAAGTGAAAATAAAAGCACAAATTTCACAATCAGCTCTCCAACAAGTTCTTTTGAAACTATATTATCAGTTAATATCTTTGACTATAAATACCAAATAGCCATGAAATAATACTGTTACAATAAACCAAATCCACAGCATATCATCATATAACTGTCACTTACAAACAATTTTACAATTTTTTTTCAAATTACATGTTCATAAAAGTACAAAATACAAATTGTTAGAATTTACCATCACCTACCACACACTTACCATCACCTACCACACACTCACCTACTACACTCACCTACTCCTCACCTACCACCACCTAACCTACATCTATATAATCAATCAATTGTAACAGAATCAAAGATAAATCAATCAATAATACATATATTTTTTCACAAATATTTCATGAAAATAACTAATAAAACCTTGTTAAATCATGTGTATAGCTTACTCAATGAGACAATGGACAAAAGACAAACAAATCACTTTGAAGGTAAACCACCAGAAAGTTCTAATTTCAAACTCTATACTTAAGTCGATATTTTAAACTCCCTAAAAAAACAAACATACACAATTTTTAAATAAGTTCAATTGTATGTGTAGATCATTCATATGATAATCAACTGCATACCAACTACAATGACATAAATAAACACACAGACACACAACAAACAAGTTTTGTGAGTTTAACTTGTGGCCAATTAATATGATGCTTTACAGATTCAGCAATTACCATTGAGCATAGAATTAACTGTGCAAGAAAATACCCCATAAACCATGATTGGTTGTTGACAGATGTAAGACTATAAACAGGAACCAAGCACTCACCCAACACAAAAACAACTGTAACCTTCTTTTCACTCAGTGAGCTTCCATTTGCTTCCTGCAATCAGGCATATTTGTCAGATGGCAACCTAGACTCGAATACATATGCATGTGTTCACATGTATCAGATAGAAAAAGATAACTTGTAAGAGAAGCATCCATGCCTAGAGGAAAAGTCTACGTGAATTAGTGGGCCAGATCAGAGCCCTTCAGATAAAGAAGTATCAACACAAGAATTTTTAGTGTTCGCCTACAGTTTGGTCACCAGTAAAACTTATTTGACCACAACTATAATAGGAAAAAACTACACATGCTGCTAGCACTAGTAACAGAGTCTGGAGATGCTTGACCATGGTCAAGAATACTGTGATCATCAAACTGAATCATGTCATATGGACAGGACAAAGCAAAGTATTCAATACAAGCCTTAGTCATGTCAGAAGCTTTGAAATTCAGGCTTGATCAAAGTTTGAAAGCACGTGATTGCAAAACGTAGTTTTGCCTTGTGAAAAAATGACAAAAAATGTCAAATACCTTTTTTCCAGAGTCAACAACAGTCCCCATGAGAGTCAACTACGTTGCAAAAAGTATTCTGTGCAGAAAAACAAGAATTAAGATTAAACATGATAAAGAAAAGAACACACATTTTTTAGGGATTAATTGAATGCACTTTTGAAGTATGTTGAGTGTTTTAAGGTAACACACAAGAAAACTATGATATATCAACATGTTAAAGAAAAATAAAGTGTTGTCCAACATAAACAGATGTTAAAAAAAAAAAAAAAAAAGGAATGCATGATTTAAAGAAAAAACTATACACAAAACATTGCAATTCTCAGTAAACACAAAATCGGATCAAATTCCTAATATATGACACTTCATATGGACATCCAGACGACAAGTAATCATGATATTAATTTTTTGAATGACACTTCATATGGACATCCAGACGACAAGTAATCATGATATTAATTTTTTGAATCCTATGAGCCAGTTCATGTTTAATTATGCACCAATTGTTTATCCATCCCACCAAAATTGAATGATTCCAAAGTGATTTAGATAGAATTGTACAAGCAAGCTAGTGGCGGATTATACAACTGCTACCTTTATCACTTAATAAAACTACTATCTTAGAAATAACAAATTGAACTCATATCAATCGACCACCAAACTGCAATGCAACCAAGGGTAAATAAGAAATGGGGCTTGCAATCAACGCTATGAAATGCTCTCATATTAAACAACTGTCAATAAATGGGCTTAAGTAATAGTTATACGGGCATCTCCAATCCTTGACTCAAAACCCATATCAAACTTAAATTTTGGATAAAAATACTCGAAACATACTCCACTTCTCAACCCAAACTTCCAACAATTGAGTTCTAGTTAAATTTTTACCCAAGTCAAGGGAGGTTCAGATGTTTACTCCAAATCTTCAAGTCTTCAAATTCAACACTTTGCCATTAGTGAAGTTCTACTCAAATTTACACTTTAATCTGAGTTAAATAAAGCTTTTACACAAATTATTAATCAAATATGAATAAAATTTTGAATGATGGCACAAGATTGCCAAAGAAACTAAAAATAAAGAATTGATACTTGGAATATACCATATGTATATGAATGCATTAAAAAATCAAAATTCCAGAGCATAACAATCAAATACCTCAAATTGAGAAGAACAAAAAAACAGTAGAATAATTTCAACCGGATAACAAGAATCAAAACCATTATTCATCTCAATTGCACAAGATCTGAATTAGAGAAACATAAAATTGAATAGAGATCAGTGGAATAACCAATCAGATCAAATCAAATTAAAATTAAGCACTTTCTGATAGACAATATGCTTGAAATTGAATAAAAGTTTGAATTAACTGAAGCTAAATGTGAAGAACAAAGAACAGAAAGTGGAAAAAGATCCGAGGCTCACCTTGAGAAGAAGAGGCTTTGTTCGAAAATGAATCAGAGAGAGAGAGAATGAGAGGGAAAATCAGATCTGAGGAAAGAGGCAAAGATGCAAAGAGCTCGCTTGTGGTGTGCGTTCTTTATAGACGAAAAATAAATGACAAAACACATATGCTTGAAATTGAATAAAAGTTTGAATTAACTGAAGCTAAATGTGAAGAACAAAGAACAGAAAGTGGAAAAAGATCCGAGGCTCACCTTGAGAAGAAGAGGCTTTGTTCGAAAATGAATCAGAGAGAGAGAGAATGAGAGGGAAAATCAGATCTGAGGAAAGAGGCAAAGATGCAAAGAGCTCGCTTGTGGTGTGCGTTCTTTATAGACGAAAAATAAATGACATCTCTCTCTCTCTCTATATATATATATATTATATATATATAAACGAGCGTTATGGAAACATAACGACCAACGAGGAATCGCCAACGTTTTAACCGGTCCCGCTTTTATATGGACGGTTCTCTTTCGATTAAAGGCCAGTTACTTAAAAAGTTAAGAAATTACTATTATATTTAAGTCATATCATTTTATTTAAATCACATCACTTCTCTATCACATCAGTTTAAACCCAATCTATAGAATTCATATTTCACAAAAAATAAAAAAATGCACTTATTTAAATTATTCCAAATCACCCCTAAGGATTGTTTTGAGAAAATAGTTAAGAGTTGGTTTTTGATTTTTTTTTTTTTAAAATGTGTAAAAGTATCTAGAGATGATGTGATGTAAAATAGGTTAATTTTAATTTTAATTTTTTTTTTTTTTTTTTTTTTGAGAACAAGGTTAAAAATTGAAAGATAACTTTTAATCATCATTTCAAAATAGCCCCAAGTGAATAACAAATACACTTGTACGAATTTTTCTCTTTTAAGTTGTTGATTTTATAATAAATGACTTTTTTTATTAATAAATTATTAAGTTAATTAACGATTTTTAATCATATAGAAAATTATTTCAATTAAGAATTGAAATAATTTTATATAGTATGGAAAAATAGTTAAAAAATTTATTCGATTAATTCTATTAAATAAAAAATTATGACAAGAAAGTATTTGTAATTACAGAAGACAATTTGTATGGAAAATGCTATAAATTCCAAATGAATTACCAAATTTTTTACCAAATCGTTCACATGTGGGACCCACACACATGTGATTTGTGTAGGTACCACACCCATGTGAAAGATTTGATAGAAAATTTAATAATTTATTTAGAATTCCTAGCATAACTCCAATTTGTGTTTATAATAAACTTGAAAGAATGTGTTTATAATTTATATTTTCAATGTTTACTTTAAAGTAAATTGCACTGAGCTCCTTAGAAGTTTATGACAATTATAGATATTCTATCTTAGTTTTTCAGAAAGATCTTGGTCTTTAAAAGAGGAATTTAGTAGAAAAGCTTTTATCCTAAATTTGTATTCCAATAATCTTGTTTGAAATATTTGATATACTAGAATTCCAAAATTCATATTTTATACTTTTTATAGACATTAAGGCTTTGTTTGGAAACAGATTATTTTAATAATTTTTTAACTTTTTATGAAAAAATATGCAGAAAAATAGAGAGAGTGATGTGACAACTTATAGTAACTTTTTGACTTTTTAACTAAAATATATAGTTGACAAACGAGGCTTAAGTATTAAGGGGATGTTTGGCAATCAATTAAAATAGTCAAAAAAATAATACAAAAAATCAACTCATTCTATCTAAATTTTTTACGTGTTTTGGGGAAATTACAAAAAAATAAAAAATAAAAATCAAAGTTTATCTATTGTAACAAAATAAATTTTTAATTTTGTTAATTTAAATCATAAATTTTTGGTTTGTGTTCAATTTAAACTAGGGTACATTACACTGACATCTCTTGAGATTTAATATAGTTACATCTCACCCCCTGACGTTCTGAAAATTACATTCTCACCCCTGTGGTTAATAGTCTCATTTCACAAACCCATGTTTATACAAAAGGCAACAACACGTAGTAAAAAAATAGAAGAAATTACATTTATAAAAAAAATAAATAAATAAAGCAAAGGGGAAAAAAAAAAAAGATGAAGTAAAGCAAAACAAGAAAATAGAGAGTGCATGAATTCAATATTTTCATTCCGTCTAAATAATTACAATGACATGGGTTTAGTATAATTTCTCAAACGTTAGAGGATGATATGCATTAACCTCAAATCTCAGAGAGTGTAATTTGTCTATTTTGCATTAAGTAAAATCAACGAAAAAGTGCATATTTTAGTTATTAAACTCAATGTACATTGAGTTTAATATATATATATATATATATTGTCGGTTTTAGTTAACAAAAATAGACAAATAATTTAGATGGTGTTTGATAAATTTGAAAACTAAAAACTAAAGACTGAAGACTGAAAAATTAAATATTAAAAATTGAATGCTGAATTTTTTAAGTTGAAAAGTTGTTTGATATAGTGCTTAACTAAAAATAAATTGTTTGATAAGTATAAAATCAAGTTTAAAAATAATTATTTTCAAATTGTATGTTTGAATTTTTATATTATGATAGTGGTGATGTTAGGGATAGTGGTGATGGTAGGGATAGTGATGGAAGCACTAGTAAAATAATAATGGTTCTTATGATAACAATGACAATAGTGATAATGGTAGTGATGGTGATGACAACATGATAGTGGTGGTGGTGGCATGATGGTGGTGGTTGTGAGGGTAGCGGTGGCATAATGGTGGTTGTAGTGGTAGAGATGGAGGTAATGGTAGTCACAATAGTAATAGCGATGGTGGTGTTGGTGGTGGCAGCAGTGGCAACGGCAACAACAGTGGCAGTGGCGCGACAGTGACAGTTGTGTTGGTGGTGGGTAGCGGTGGCGGTAGGTAGTAGTGGCAATGGTGATGATGGCAATAAGTTTATACTAGTGTATATTGATACTTATATTTAATATTTATAAATTCAATTAAAATTAAATAAATTTCATATGAATTGAAATCTTACATTTTAATCTAAGTTTTAAAATGCACTTCAATTTTTAAGTGAAATCAATTGTAATTATCAAACTGGTTTGATTGATTATCACTTAATACATTCAGTTTTAAATGCTGAATCAAAATATTAATGTTTCAATTAATAAAATTAAAAATTTAAGATTTATGTTATTACAATGATTAAATCCAAGGTTTTTTTTTTTTTTGTTTTTTGTGATTATTCCTAAAAAAAATCAATTCTTAAACGAATTCTAAGTTTCATATTCCATTCCTGAAAAGAGGAATTCAATTACAAATTTTTTTTTTTTTTTTTAAATTTGTATCCTAATAAATCCTGTTCTATTTTTTTTTTTGTTTTTGTTTTTAATGGATAATAAATCCTCTTGTTGATCTACCAAATTATAAATCTCATATTTTATATTTTTTATGAATATTATGGCAAGAAAATATTTTCTTACCGGTTAGAATCCTTGTTTTACTGATCATAATTATATTTCAAGTGTCGAAAAAAGAATTGTGTGGATATAATATTATTATATGAAATATATATAATATTGTATATTCATGAATAAGGTTCTCTTTTCTTCTTTTTTTTTTTTTCTTTTATAGAGAGATTTTATTGACTATTTCCCTCATCTACCGTAGAATTATAACAGATATCACGAAAATTAAAAACTAATTTTCATCTTTTTTTTCCATGAATAGTCTGCCATGGTCAATAGCTCTAGCAATTCCTTTTAACAATCAACAAAGTGTGGCCTCATTTTGGAGCCGACGTTAAAGATTCGAATGGTATAGCACTAATAAATTTTAAATTTGGGAATGTTAATCCATTTAGTCTTAAAAGTTTTTTGTTAGACTAATAGGTCCTATTTCCCAAGAAGCTTACTATAGGCCTTTTTATAATTTCCCTTCTTTTCAAACATCAAGCATTATTCATCAAACATCAAATATTAGCAACGTCAGGATTATTTATCAAACATCAAACATTAGCAACGTCAGGATTATTCGTATAATGTCGGTGAAAACATTAGCGACGTTAGAATTATTCATCCAACATCAAACATTAGCAACGTCAGGATTATTCATCATACATCAAACATCATCATCAAAACAACATTAAAAATAATGATTAAATAATTTTTTAAATAACGATTAAAATAACATCAAACATCAAAAATAACGATTAAACAATTTTTTCTGATCAAACATCATCATCCTAACAATTTTTTTGATCAAACATCATCATAACATCAAAAACATCTCAAATCGAAACCCAGATCTGATTCGGAACACATCTCAGATCGAAACCCAGATCTGATTCGGAACACGTCTCAAAAACCCACGTCTCGGATCGGCTCTGTGAGAAATAGAGAGAGGGAGATGGGTTCGGAACCCAGATCTAATTCGCGGAGTAGGGATGAGGCCTCGTACTCCACCACCTTCATGTTGAGTGCGATTCGAGGCCTCATCATGAATGGGCTTGGCCATGCTCCCAGAACTTTCACTTCGCTTTTCGCCATTGTTTCCAGAGAAGAGAAGCAAACCAACAGTGGGTAAAATACTGTTGACGATGCACAATGGTGTGTGCGTGTGAGATGTGTATTTGGTTTGCATAAGCAAGCATGTTACGATGAAGATTCAAGACCACGTTTGTTTGATGTTATTTGATGATGACGTTGTGATGTTTGATATTGTTTTGATGATGATGTTGTGATGTAAAAAAAGGACTAAATGGTTTATAAAAAAACACTCAGGACTAGATGGAGTAACATTTTTCACTACGGGATTTATGAGTAATTTTTCTTTTTTTAATATTTGTTAAATAGAATATATATGTAAAAAGTTAAGATAATTAAACATTGATATTTATAGGCCGGTTTGGTTTGTCTCTGGAGAGATAATTTTTAAGAAACAATTTTAAAAATTTGTTTGCTTGAATTTTAAAAAAAAAAAATTCAAAATCACTTTTCTCTTTATTACGTGTGAATCAATCATTTTTTGTCTCTCATATTTCCTTCTCTCACATTCTACCTATAAAATAATCACTTTTTGCTCTCACACACCTATTTATTCAACAAAAAAATAAAAGGTAAATTACAAATATAATCCCTGAAGTTTAATTAAAATGCAAATCGCCCCTGTAGTTCTGAAAATTATATTCCACCCCATGAGGTTTTTAATT